GTAGTTTTGCTACTGTTATGAATCGTAATGTAAATATCTTTTTGTTTTCCGATGGTCTTAGGCGACCCCTGTGAAAGGGTCATTCGACCCCCAAAGGGGTTGCGACCCACAGGTTGAGAACCGCTGCTCTAGATGTAAGTGTAATCATACAGTATTTGTCTTTTAGTGACTGGCTTATTTCACTTGATGTAATCTCCTCCAGGTTCATCAGTGTTGTTGCACATGTCAGAATTTCTCTCTTTTTAAAGGCTGAATAATACTCCATCATATGTATATATGATATTTTGTTTATCCATCTACCTGTAGACAAACACTTGGGTTGCTTCCGCCTTTTGGCTATACTGAATAATGCTGCTATGAACATGAGTGTACAAATACCTCTTTGAGGCTCTCTCAGTTATTTTGGATATGTACCCAGAAGTAGAATTGCTGGATCATAAGGTAATTCTATTTTTAATTTTTTGAGGAACTGCCATACTGTTTTTCATAGTGCCTGCACCATTTTACATTCCCACTAACAATGCACAAGGGTTTAAATTTCTCCATAACCTTGTCAACGTTTGTTTTGTTTTTTGATAGTAGCCATCCTGATCAATCAGTGTGAGGTGATATGTCATTGTGGTTTTGATTTGCATTTCCCTAATAATTAGTGATATTGAGCATCTTTTCATATGCTTGTTGGCCATTTAAATATCTTCTATGGAGAAATGTCGAAGTCCATTGCCCATTTTATAATCAGCTTATTTGGGGTTTTTTAGTTGTTGAATTATAGGGGTTCTTTATGTAATCTGGATATATGATTTGCAAATATTTTATTCCATTCCATACTTTGTCTTTTTTCTGTTATTATGCCCTTTGATATACAGAAGTTTTTTAAAATTTTAATTTAATTTCTTATTTAAATTTATGTATATGTAGTTCAATTTATGTATTTTTAATTTTTGTTGCCTGTGCTTTTGGTGTAATATCCAAGAAATCATTGCCAAATCCCATGTCAGAAAGCTTTTTTTCTAAGAAAATATAGTTTTCGGTTTTATGTTTAGGTCTTTGATCAATTTTGAGTGAATTTTTGTATATGGTGTAAAGTAAGGGTCCAACTTCATTTTTGTGAGTATCTAGTTTGGGAAAACATCATTTGTTGAAAAGATTGTCCTTTCCCCACTGAATGTTCTTAGCACCCTTGATAAAAATTATTGACTATATAACTTTTAATGTATGTTTTCATTTGAAAATATGAGCATACTTAAAATTAAGATGAAAGATGTACAGTGCATTATAAAAAAAATACTTTTTCATATGGGATTAGGAAAGGAGAACAAGAAGATAAAATATTTTAATTGTAAAAAGTTTTCCTTTCAAAATATAAAAGTTGATAAATACTTAAATGTAAAGTTAATCACTAATAAGTTTCAGGTAATTAAAAATACATCTGATTCACTTCTGCTATACTTTCATTGAAGGATTTCCAGGACTTAATACCAATTTCTGATCAGTTATATTTTGCAAGTACGTTTTCACAGATAAGCTCTTATAAATTTTTTTTTTAAAGGTTTTATTGAGGAGTTGGGGGAGGGAAACAGACAAGTTGCTGTCCTTTTGTTCTTCAGTCTAGTTGTGGAGGACGTTGCTTCACTGGCCCATGTTGGTATTATCATTGCGCTCTTCCCGGATGAGGCAGATTGGTCGCTGGCCTCTGGACGGCCGCTCACAGTGGCTCTTGTCACCTCACACAGGCTGCCAGCCGCTCACACTGGCTGCTGGCAACTCACGGTAGCTAATGGCAGCCCACTGCAGCTCCACTGCAGCCTACACCGTCACCGGCGACTCACAGCAGCCCAGCTCCAGGTCGAGCTGTTGTTCACCATCTTAGCTGTAGAGGGCAGTTGTCACTGGCCCTCATGTGGGATCCGAACTGGGGCCCTGCTGCTCAGAGCTGGCATCCCAAGCCAACTCCTAACCAATGCACCTCTCGGCCGGCCCAACACCAGCGGTTTTTACCACGGCAGGTTTTGTGCCATCAGTGCAAATGACAGCACAGTAAAAAGAAATAACATTTAGCATTATTATGAAAATAATTTTGTCATCATGGACCCCCTAAAAGGATCTCAGGGACCACTAGGGATCCATGGACCATAATTTGAGAACTACTGCTCTAAAATATCTTTATTTTTGGCAAGGATAGGATCCACTTGCTCCTATATAAGTAACAATAAATCTAAGCAAAACAACTCAAAAAATACCCTCTTACCTTTGCCAAGACTAAAGACAAATGGTTCATTTCGATCATGACTGGAATCAAACTTCTTTCCATTTGACAATTTTCCTTTGTAATGGACATAAACTTTGTCTCCGATCATTGGCGATTCCTCACTATTCCCTGCTCTTTTGACAATCTAGAAAAGACAAACATCAAGAACAAGGAGGTAAAAATTTTGACTTCTAATCAGAGAATCAAAAGATCACACCGTCCATTTCATATCACCCAGGCAGATTTGCAAATTATTATCTGTCTTTTCTAAAGGCTCCCCTCCCAGTTCTCTCAATATCCCTCACTGCTAGAAAACTGTCCTATTCTACTCTAAATCTTTAATGCTACATTTAATTTTATTGTAATCACATTGTTCCCTCAAAATAATGAACCAATAGATCCTGCCTCCTTGGTTCCTCCTTGCTCTGACACTAAAATTTCTCAAGTCACAGAGCTAGTTCATATACAAACCGAATTAGACTGAAAAGATTAGTACTGACTTTCAAAAGCATTCAAAAAGAAGTCTAAAGCAAAGTTTCAAAGGTGAGGACTTCCCTCCTTTGCTAAAAACATTAGCTTTTGACTAGATTCCACCAGTATAATTTCTAAAAGCCCCATTTCCCAGTATAACAGGTTACCCTTCCTATTATTTGAAGAATATTCAACATACAAAAAAAACCCCAGAATCACTGCACAGTTTGATATGATACTTAGTAATTTTTTTGTAGTAAAGGAAATGCCAAAAACAAAACAAAACAAAAAAACCCTCTAAAGCTGAAAAATATTTAGCTATTGTAAAATCCAGTATATTTATTTTGTTATTGGCAGAACAAGCCACTAATGCAGTTGGTCAGTTCTGGGAAAAGAAAATCAAATCCTGGCATGTGGTGGTGTAACTTATTCTGTCAATCACCTATGCCAAATTAATCATTTTTATTAGATAACACAGGATGGTAGCTAATGTCCAATGAACATCTTTTGGGGGGAAGGGACTGAACTTTTATCTAAAGAATTCAATTATTTGTTCCTAAATTCTTCTCTAAGATGTGTCCCTCTTGCCCCACCCTCATATCACCACATAAATACTATGAACTTAGAATCTACAACTTTCTTAGCTCAAAAATCCGGTCTCTAAAGGAAAAGAATCATTACTGCTGCTCAAAAAACTGTTAGAACTAATCAGTGAATTTAGTAAAGTTGCAGAATACAAAATCAACATACGGAGATCAACTGCATTTCTATACACTAACAATGAAATATCTGAAAAAAGATATAAGCAATTCTGGAAATGCAAATCAAAACCACAATGAGATATCACCTTACACCTGTTAGAATGGCTATTATAAAAAAGATGAGATAAGTGTTGGCGAGTATATGGAGGAAAGGAAACCTTCATACACTGTTGGTGGAAATGTAAATTGGTGCAGCCACTATGGAAAGCAGTATGGAGGTTCCTCAAAAAATTAAAAATAGAACTACCACACGATCCAGCAGTCCCACATCTGGGTATAAATCCAGAGGAAACAAAATCACTATCTTGGAGAGATATTTGCACGCCTGTGTTCATTGTAGCATTGTTTACAACAGCCAAGCCTTGGAAGCCACCTAAGTGTCCACTGATGGCTAAATGAATAAAGATGTGACTGACACTGACACACTGACACACACACACACACACACACACACACACACACACACACATTATTCAGCCATTAGAACGAAGGAAATCTTGCCATTTGTGACAATATGGATGTACCTTGAGAGCATTGTGATAAGTGAAATAAGCCAGACAGAGAAAGTAAAATACTGTATGATATCAGTTATATGTAGAATCTAAAAAAGCTGAACTCACAGAAACAAAGAGTAGAATGGTAGTAGAATGGCTAAACGAGGAAATGGGGAGATGTCAGTCAAAGGGTATAAACTTTCAGATATAAGATGAACATATCCTGGGGGTCTAATATACAGCATAGTGACTATAATGAACAACACTCTATCGATTATTTGAAAGTTGCTAAGAGACTAGATCTTAAATGTTCTCACCACAGAAAAGAAATGGTAACTGTGAAGTGATTACCATAGTGTTAACTAACCCTATGGTAATCATTTCAAAACATATAACTGTATCAAATGATCATGCTGTACACCTTAAAACTTACATAATGTTACAGGCTAATTACATCAATAAACCTGGGAAAAATAATTATAATTTAAAAATTAAATTAAAACCTACTTAAAAAAATTATTACTACCCTTCAAGGACTTCAAACCAAAAAACACTTTAAAAAAAAATTTAATCTAAAGGAAATCCCATGATATTCTAAAAGTGTTCATGTTCCTATACATCTGAAAAAAATATAAAATGCTATTGAATGTCAACTGTAACTGAAAAAATATTTTAAAAATAAAAATAGATAAAAGTGCTCAGGTTCATGGACTGCAAGGGAGTATTTGGGGGCCTGAGCCTCAACAGGAGGGAATCTGCACCTCTGGGATTGAACAAGAAACTGGGCACGTGGGACGAGTGGCTACCAGGGAGTCAGTCCACACCAGCAAGGACGCTGTGCTGTCACCTGAGGTTTCTCCAGCAAGTTGAACTTGTGCCTAAATTTGGAGATGCCTTAAGGACACAATCTACTCTCAATTCATTTAAAAAATGTAAGCTCCACAATGTAAATTACCTTGCTGGGCTAGTTACTGACTTCCCAGACCTGTCTTGGTCTTTTCAAAATATATACATATAATCTTTAATAAGAGAGATTACCTAGGCAAGACACTGTGCATAATGCTCTGTGCAATCCCGGTAACTCCACAAGGCAGGTAGCAGTATTATTCCAATTTTTTACAAATGAGGAAATTTCATCACAGACTGGTTAACTAAATTGCCCTAGGTCTACAGTCAGTAGACCTATTTCATCTTAACCAAAAGCCCCACGGTGAAACTTGAGGCTCTAGGCAGTGATAAATGATATGATGGAAAGGGCTTACAATCTCAGAATGTTTCTTAAACTTCTAAAAACCTTCTTAGTTTAACGCACTAAAACAAAGCAGAGTCTGACGCAAGTCAATGGCTGTGTTCTCTGTATGGGTGCTCGGAAAAGATGAAAGAGAGGGAGATGCTGAGGACATGCTGCAATTTTCACTACCTCTAACAGCATTCTGGAGTCTGGGATGAGGAATTCATACAGCTAAAGGCTGAGAAGCCCTCTGAAAGAAGATAGCATGATATAAACCAATACCATAAAACCCTTCCTCTCCAGTTACAAGTCTCCACAATTTGGCTTGTGATAGTAAAACATGGTATATTCAGAAGAGATTCAGGCAGAGAAAAAGAGCTTTCACGTAAAGCAACATTAGACAAAACAAACTAAAAAATTCTCATTTGCTACTGTGACACAGGAAATAGTAAAACTCAGCTTAGTGGTAATATCTAGAATGTGTAAGATAATCTTTTCAGCCAAAAAAAAATTAATTCTACAAAACTTGTATGTATAACAACAATGTAGGAGAAATAAGATGACCAAAGCCATTTAACCTCTCTCAGCTTCAGTTTATTCATTTATATAGAATATAAATACATATTTTCCATATATAAATAGAAGAATCAAGAGGTGCTCTGATCGTCTCACAAGACCATTGTGAGATAAAAATTTTTAAAAATCATGTAAAAATGATTAACTACAGAGTGAAAAATATATATATATATATCACGTTTTAAAAGGAGGAAAGCTAATTCAAAAGCGATATATTCTCTGATGAAACCTCAAAAAATACCTCCACTGTACAGGTACACTATTTGCATATAAAAACAAATCCTTTTGAACTTTGCAAGTTAGCTTTTCTTTTTCCTTTAAAAAAAGTCTTTTTAATCGTCTTTGGCTAGCTTTAATATACTTAATATTATATTAAAATAACAACCCACTTACACACTCTGAGAATAGAGAGAGGATAGCCTTTTGGAGTCAGACATATCTGGGACCTGACCCCCAGATCTGCATTTACTTAGATATATGATACTAGGTAAATTAATTTACCTAGCTGGGCCTCAGTTTGCCATCTATATCTGGGATTAAAAATAAACCTCAAGGTATGAGATGAAATGAGAATTTAGCTGTAGTGTCTGACACTTAGTAAACCTTAACAAATATTGTCCACCTCCAGCCCTCACCCCTAAAAAAGATTTTTACAATCTTTCCAGATAGCAAATTTCCGTACATGTCCTTCACCCTTCTGGCCTCACCTTTAATACTCCTCTATCTTTTTTAACAGTAATATCCTCTCCATGTGCAGCGACAGCTGCTGCTGGGCTTTCTCCATTGTTCTTGGCACCTTCATCAGTAGTCATTGTCTTTTATAAGTAGGTAACCTGTGGAGAAGAAACATTTTAGGAAAAATATTACTTCTTTATGCATCTTAAAATGTTCCTAGGAACTGAGCTTTACCTTCCTAAGATTTACTTAGGGGCAATAAGGTTAAACACTGAAAACGAAAAAAAAAACATTTGCTATGAGCATGTGTTGATGTCATGGGGCATGTAAATAAAACATCATCCAACTCTTCAATTTCCCATCCAGCTCTGGCCCCAAATTAGACAGCAGTGTACGTCAGGTTTGGTGGTGATTATATTCCTCAACATAATTACACATTCAGAAGTAGTCCTTTCAGAACTTTGAAAATGTCCCTTTCGTACAGCCATATTCTTGACAGAGAATCAAGGACTTATCAGGTGATCGGATAAAAGGAAGGACAACATAGCACTATGGTAAATAAAACAGGCTCTGGATCTGACGGACCCCAGGCCCCGGGGCAGCAGTATCTGTTTGACATGTGCAAACTTACTGAATCTCATTGAGCCTCAGTTTCACATCTGTAAAATGGACACAGTACATTGTTCATAGTTATTGTGAGGCATTAATAAGATAACATATGTGAAGAGATTAGCACAGACTCACACTTAAAAAGGTAAACATTTATTACGATTATCATTAGGCCTTCTATAGGGCCCCATTTTCCATTTCCTGCTCAAAAATACCTACAAAATGAGGCTCTTCCCTAGCATGAGTCTCAAGGCCCTTTGCAATCTGATCCTAACCTATCCTCCAGGTCTAGCTTCCACTACTTTTCTTTTAGTGTTTTTCATGCAGCTCATGTTCTAGCCAAACCAGACCCATTCCTCTTCTATAACAAGCCCTGTGCTTTCCCACCTCCATGCTTTTGGTCATTCTTTTTCTTCCTCAAACATTCTCCCCCTCCAGTGCTACCTCTAGCATACCAACCTTGACCTTAGACTTGGAGGTTGTCTGTCCTTTTCTGCACTTCCTTAGCTTTTCCTTTGATTTTTTTGTCTGTAATATATTCATAAGAAAACAGACTTCTTAGATTTAAAAGATCCTTGAGAGCAAAGGCCATACTTTGTTCATATTTATATTTCCTAGAACGCCTCTTTGAGGTTGGTAAGACAGAAACTGCAAGGAATTTGGAGGTCCTTCCGAGCTATTTGACGTTGGCTACTTTAACTTCTTATAAGCCTTTTTCCTCAACCTGCATAATTAGAGTAACAACAATATCTACTTTCACAGAATAATCTTCTGTATTAAACGGTCTAATGTACATTTTAAAAGTATGCTATGCCAATGTTAGCTCTTATTATCAGTCACTCAAATGAACAATGTTACCAAAGGCTAATCAATAGATAAGACACACATCGTTGGCCATTGCCATGATGAATGCCATACTGCTCTCCTGGTGAAGCAGGAAAGGTCAAGAATGAATCACTTCTACGGCTGTTCCACAGTCGGCTACTAATGGACATAAGGTTCCCTAAAGTCTCCTGCTGGACCTCTTGTCTACACAGTTAAAAAAAGCTACTTTACTCTTGTGAAGAATGTCTTATTGATACAATTGACAATTAGACAACTATTAATAAAACATATATTGTACTGTTTTCACTCATTTCCGATTGACCTAAATTTACTTCAGTGTCAACAAAGACACAAATCAAATTTTGCTGTGCCCCAAAAAATCTTCTAAGAGAACAACCAAATCCAGGGGCTAAGCCCCTTTGCTTTATTTTCTAGTACAGTTTACGCTAAGGCTAAACACAGAGATCCAAATGCTGGGCTCCGGATAAGGCAAAGTCCAGAACAAAGTGTTCTCAAACAAACAATGACACCCGGAATTATGTATCTAGTTATATGTGATGCTGGGCTAGACAATTAGGGAAATTAGATGAGCAGGGTTGATTCCCAGCTTCTAGAAACCTACCATTTATAACAGACTTCTCTGATGCACAGAAACTTGTAGAAGGCACCTCAAAAACAGGGGGGAGAAGGAGGATCTTTTACCTATTTTGGAGGTCATGGACTGTATCCTTGGAAACACACACACACACACACACACACACAGAAATGTTCTCAGGGCCTCACAGATACACTGACATCCATCAATAGACCCCTGGGGAAACCCTGAATTAAATCAATAAACATATTAAAACCACCAGGTGAAATATTATTAGGGAATAGGACAGCCACACGGTCTCGCAGCATGAACGTACAGATTACTCATTATTGAAAAAGGAAAAAGGGCTTTCCAACAAAGTGATCGACAGATACCCCCTTACCAGAAGTGATCTGTATCATGACTAAACTCTGCATCACTAATAATAACATAACTGGTATCACTGCCTCCTGATGTAACATAATGAAAAGCGTACATGTGGTAGTCCTACCAAAAATGTTTAACCCGAAACTAATCAAGAATAAAACACAAAATTAGGTTGTGGAACATTCTACAAGACAACTGGCTTAGACTCCTCATAATGTTTGTGTTATAAAAGACCAAAAAAACAAAAGAAAGAAAGAAAAAGAAAAGACAGAAAGGCCTGTTCTAGTTCAAAGGAGACTAAGGAGACACAACAACCAAATGCAACGTGTGTTCCTTGGCTGGATACTGGATCAGGGGAACAGAAAGTTATAAAAGTGCATTTTTGAGAGAATTAGAAAAATTTGGAAAAACAGGCTGTACATTTGATTATTATTACTGTCTAAGGTGAGTCTTCTGGAGTGTGATATGGTATTGTGGTTTTATGTAGAATGATATCCTCGTTCTTAGGAGACATATGCTGAAATATTTAGAGGTGAGATGTTAGGATGTCTGCCACTTACTTTCCAATCATTTAAGAGAGAGCATGTGTAAGCACAAATATCACACAAAAAAACACTAAAAACAAGGCATTGAGAAAGCATGACTACAACACATCCAAAGGTAATGCTTTTCTTTTGAATGCTCATCATTTGGGAATCAACTAAATTTTTTAATGAAAATACTGTCAATCCAAAAAACATTTTCTTTTTGGTTCTACCCCTGCCCTTTGGAAACAATGGCTTTCTAAAATTCAAGTAAATCGGAAACTTGTATAAGTTCATTAGCTACCTTTATAATTTCCATTTGATAGTGAAATTTACTCTTCATTTTTGGTTCTAACACTTCAAGGGATCCAAGTAATCATCGTAACTCAAAGAATGGTTCTGAGTAGTACGGAGTCCATATGAAAAGGGGTAGCATGAATAACTAAGATGCAAAGATAAAAACAAGAAAACAAATTTTTGAACTTTTAAAGGCAGATAAATCTGGAAGAATAAAGAACTGAACTTTACAGTATTTCTCCTTAATTCCAATTATGGCATTTGGAGGTATAGATTTTTGTAAGCAAACAAATTAAAAAACAAAAACAAAAAACCTTTTCCTTTGATCTCGTGTTATATAAAAGGCAGTAAGAACCGACAATTCCTAAAAACCTGTAAGACATATTGAGAAAGTTCCATTTTTTTCATAAAAGAGCCTTTTCTTCTTTCCTCTACCCTAGGTTTATTCTGGATTTAAAATCACTATGTAGCTATGGATATTAATCTACGATAAAACTCACTGTTCTGAACTGTCTAAAGGAGTGAAATTGCTACCCAGTACATCTATCTGAGCAGGACTGCACAGTTCCTTCTGTTAGGGACATGCCAGATAAGCACACACTCTCCAAAGTGCTAGTCAGCAAACACCCGAGACATAACAGAAAAATGAGAATACACTTAAAATGTCATCAACAGGGTACTGAAAACTTCAGTTAACATATTATAATTATTATATAATAAATTGTCATATCCCCCCAAATGAGAAGTCCTGTTAAAGTTTTATCCACTAATTCCCTGTGTGTGTTATTACGGAGTTGTTCTCTTTGTTAAAATGTAGATATTTGGTACCAGACTATTCCACTGTCTAATAGGGCGTTTTTCAGAAAGAAGACAAAAAAGAACTTTGGTAGAAGCACAGAAAATTACAGCACCATTCTTTCTAAGTACCATAGATGTCTGGGCCATAAAGGCTTTCGGCCTCCCAAAACTCACACACAAAAGAAAGAAGCCACAAGGAAGGAGGTATACCTAGGGCTTGTAATTGAATGGAATATAAGTGCATCTTAATTTTGAAAATGTCCATGTAAGAATGAACTGGAAAGCCCTCATTTATTTTCAAACGCAGTCCTTTCTCAAACATTCAAGACCAGTAACGCAGGAGTTGTCAGGAGGAGTTATCTATTTGTAGATAAGAAATACATACAAAAAGGAGATAAATATGCACACAGAGGAAATAAGATCAAGTATAAACACAGACAATACAACTATATGAAATGCACTATATTTAGTAACCTACTTTCCTTCAGTTAATTTCCTTCCTCTACAACTGGGGTGGGGAATGGGGAGATGACGAACAATACTCCTATGCATGCTCATACACTCATTTTTTTCTCCTTTAAAAAAAAAACCTGCAAGAAGATATATAAATGGCCAATAAGCACATGAAAAGATGCTCAACATCATTAGTCATAAGGGAAATGAAAATCAAAATCACAATGAGACACCACACCCATTAGTATGACTATTATCAAAAAAGGAAAAATGTCAAGTATCGGTGAGGATGCAGAGAAAGTGGAACCTTCACACATTGCTGATGGGAAAGTCAATGGTGTGGGTTCTGTGGAACAATTTGGTGATTCCTGAAAATGTTAAACATAGAATTACCATATAATCCACCGATTCCACGACTAGGTATGTACCCAGAAGAAGTGAGACTCAGACAGACACTTGCACACCCGTGTTCATAGCTGCGTTATTCACAATAGCCAAAAGGTGTCAACAATCCAAGTGCCCATAAACAGAATATGGTGTTGTGTATGTATTATATATTATTATTACTAAAATAAGTATTATTCAGCCATAAAAAAGGAATAAAATTCTGATACATGCTACAACATGGATGAACCTTGAAAACACTGCTACATGAAATAAGCCAGGCACAAAAGGGCAAGTATTGTATTAT